CACTGGTCAAAGATAAGGTTTAAAAATAAGGTTTAAAAACAAAACAGATGATCAGCAGTAACCAGATCATCCGTGGCCTATACTCTACTGTAAAAAGTTTAAACTCTACCCTAAAGACAAATAGGAGGGGAAAAGAAGCAGAGGGCTGGCCAAATCAGGGCAAAGGAGGAACTTCCTCAAAGTCTTGCTATTTCTGGGCTGTCCCATTTGTAACCCCAAAAATTACAGTTTGAAGCAAAGTATTGGAGGATGACCATGCCAGCTTCTTCAAATATGGCATCTGACTGAATATACAAAATCTTCTTATTCATGTGGGGAAGGAGGTATTAATCCCATATTATTGAATATCCTTAGGCTCCCAAGGCCTTAGACCCCTGGGCCTGGTTATCACAAATTCAAGAAATCCCTTGGAATTATTATCAGAATTTTACTGATAGCCTAAAAAAAAAGAATAATCTTATCTTCTAAAGTTTCAATTTTATCTAAAGTTTCAATAACAAAAATCTATACTATTAAAGATAAATGCATGAGAAGCCTAAAGAAATAATCTACTTCTTTAAGTCATGCTACCAATTTGCACGAAAATTTCATTTCCTGTGTATAGGTGTTAAGGGTCTACCATCCATGATGAATGGCATAAGACTGTGAGGCAGGCTGCAGTGGCTCATGCCTATAACCCTAGCACTTTGGGAGGCCAGGGTAGGAGGATTGCTTAAGGCCAGGAGTTTGTTCAAGACCAGCCTGAGCAACACAGAGAGGCCCCGTCTCTATGCAAAATAAGAAAAATTAGCTGGGCATGGTGGCGTGCACCTGTAGTCCCAGATTCTCAGGCGGCTGAGGCAGGAGGATCACTTGAGCCCAGGAGTTCGAGGTTACAGTGAGCTATGAATCCCACCAATGCACTCCAGTCTGGCTGACACAGCAAGACCCTGTCTCTCTCCTGGTACACTAGTACTCATGTAAGAAAAAGAGAAGGAAAATAGAAAAAAGAAAGAAAAAAGACCCTGTCTCCAAAAAAAAAGACTGTGGTGATGTGGGGATGAGAAAGCTTTTGGGATGGTGTTACGGGTTGACTTGTGCCCTCCCCAAAAAGAAATATGTTGGACTCCTAACTTTCAGTACCTCAGAATGTGATCTTTTTTGGAAACGGGGTCTTTACAGAGGTAATCAAGTTTAAATTAGGTCATTAGGGTAGACCCTAATTCAACTGACTTTTGTTGTTATTGTTTTTTGTTGTTGTTGTTTGGTTTTTTTTGTTGTTTTTTTTTGAGACAGTTTTGCTCTGTTGCCCAGGCTAGAGTGCAGTGGCGTCAGCCTAGCTCACAGCAACCTCAAACTCCTGGGCTCAAATGATCCTCCTGCCTCAGCCTTCCAAACAGCTGGGACTACAGGCATGCATCACCACACCCAGCTAATTTTTTTCTGTTTTTAGTTGCCCGGCTAATTTTTTTCTATTTTTAGTAGAGACGGGGGTCTTGCTCTTGCTGAGGCTGGTCTCGAACTCCTGACCTCAAGCGATCCTCTTGCCTCTCAGAGTGCTAGGATTCCAGGCGAGAGTCACTACGCCTGGCCCAATTCACTATTGTCTTTACAAAAAGAGGAAATTTTGGACAGAGACATATATATCGGGAGAACTTTAAGTGAAGATTGGAGTTATTCTGCCACAAGCCAAAGAACTACCAGAAGCTAGAAGAGAGGCCCAAAACAGATTCTGCCCTCATCCCTTCAGAGGAAGCATGTCTCTGCCCTTAGATTTCTAGCCTCCAGAACCATGAGAGAATAAATTTCTGTTGTTTAAGCCACTCAGCCTACATCACTTTGTTATAGCAGCCCTACCAAACAGATATCATAAAGAAAATTAGACACTCCCCTATGTCCTTTACAGATATATTACGCACAAAAGTCCTCTGAAGTGTTATTTCCAGAACAAAAGAGGACCTTGAATCTAAGAGCAATCAAAAAAGTCACCCTAGATCACACAGCCAAGAATGTTGATGTTATATCTAATTGGCAACTTGAGAGAATAAACAATAAAAATCTTTTTTTGTGGAGAAACTCTAAGAGCAAGTTAAATTTTTTTAAAGTCTGACCTTTCGGTTCAATACTAGAAATATACACTTATAAATTCAAAATTCTTCAAGATCCCAAGAGAACACGTGTCCTAGATTACAGGACCCTTTGGGTACATATCCCTTCAACTACTGTTCAAGAATTATTCTGCTCTCTCAGTTGGGGCTCTTGCCACTTCTCTCCACACAGGAGAAGAAAAGATATAAGGACTGAGATGCTGTTTTTTAAATTTTGTATTTAATTTTTTAATTTGATGCAAACGTCAGAAAGTGTAAAAAGATATACTACAACAAGAAGTTCCCTTCCTATTTTGTCCTCTACCTGCCCAATTCCTAGACCTAACAAGTAACCAATGACACCATTTTCTTGTTTATTCTTCTAAAGTTTTCTTAATGCCTATACAAGCCAATACTAATTTTCTTTTCCTCCTTTTTTTTTTTTTAAAAAACACAAAGGGTAACATATCATACATATACTATTCTGCATCTTGCTTTTATCACTTAACTGTTTATCTTCCATATCATATTTAATTTTAATTCTGTCCTTTTGCCTATTAAGAATACTTTTTACTTGCTTTCATCATAGTTCAGTCTAGCACACAAGGCATCCAGCAGCCCCTACGAGCTACCTAAGACAAATGATGGTGGCTCCATGTCACACACCAAAGACCATATTTCTTTTCTCTCCTCCTCATCTTAATTTTGCTCTTTCCCCCAACTCGCCCAATTCTCCTTCTTCCCCCTATCCCACTCCCCCCTTCTCATCCATGCCCTAAACCTAACCCTAACCCTAACAACTAGACCTAGAAACGTCATTGACATTGCTTAGTCATGGCTGGCAATATTCAGGCTTTAAAGAAGCGCAGACTCTTGATAGAGAAAAAATGGATAAATAATAATTTCTAAGGGAACTTCTAATTAACAAGAGTGCCTTCTATTAGGAGTTTTTGTTTGGAATTATGTTTCCTTTGGTACTTTGTTTTGGGAAAAGGGTGAAAGACTATGGGGCATTTTCTATGAGCGTGGAAACAAACACATACTCAGGTCTAACATGGAAGCAATGCCAGACAGAACTACAGAGTTCATTCAAAAATAAGATAATTGGAAACGAAGCATTAGAACTACAGAAAATGAACATATGGGCTCCAAAGTACACACTTGAATTAAACTATCATTTCTTTTTACTTAAAAATAAGTAGTTCCAATCTGAAACTATACATCAGAAGTGTATTAAGGATATTCACAATCAAAAACGAGAATAAAGTTCCCTTTCTCTTTTATTTTCCAGCCCACAAACTCAATGCTATCCTGCCCAGAACAAACACTATGATTTTTAAGTTTCTGAAGTAATAAAAATAGAAGGAAATGTTAGCAAATAAAAAATTTGTTTAGACTTAGAAGATGTTTCCACTGATCAAAGGATTGGTAGGGAACATAAAATTAAGGCAGGTACATAACTACATTCCAAGTAGTTAACAGGTGGTAGCTCACACCGTAGGAAGAAGCACTGACTTCCTTCCTTCCTGTATTCCTGCCATGCCAGTGGCCCTTGGTACAACGTCAGGGGTTACTGTATTATAACCCAGGTTCAGAGAGATTTAGAGGTACAATCTTAAACATCATAGATATCTTCAAAAGCAGGCCTCCGTGTACCTAATACATTAGTTAAAACCAAGGCAACTGTAAAATGAAATCCAATATATTGATCTCAATCCCCTTGCCTGCTTCCTAAAGAGTATAGAGGCCACCAGGTCCTGGCACTAAACACTTGCTAAGAAGTAGAAACACTCTTACACAGGTCTCTCAATTTTTATGGGTTCAGGACTTCTGGCTGTGTTACCCATGTAACCCCTCCAACTCTACAGGGAGAATGGCTGGAAAAACTGTGCCACTTTGGCTTCCTTTATATTAACGTGCACTCATTATCCAACAATAGCAGCTGAAATATAAATGAAGATGAGAATTCACTCTACATTACCTAAAGATTTCCCACAAGTCCAAATATTTAGGTTATATAGACTGCATTATTTTCTGATTTATCCACTGCATCAATCTGGAATTCCACAGAGCAGATTATCACACAACCACTTTAACCATGCTACTATCCAACTCTGAAGGAAGGTGAAGCTGGAGGAGGGCTTCTATCACTCCTTATCTTTCTCCATCCTTCCTCCTATTTCCTGCCTACATATGTCTTAAGCTTTGTCCTCTACTCAGTCCTAATGGAAGAGTTCTTTGGCCATCTAAGTATGAGAGACTGGAGAAAACAGACTGGCTTCTCCACCACATCAACAGGAGCTTTTTCATCTAAAGGTCACCTGTCCACACTGGTCACCTGCCCAAAGGAGATTTTACCCAGTGAGATGAAAGTTGGCACAAGTGCTATCTGTTGAGGAAAATAGTGTAAAATCTCATGCAAAGGACTTGGGAGCAGCAGGAGGACTCTCCAAAGAGTCATACATGTAAACCAGCAGGTCTTAGAATGTTCTAATATACTATATGAAGTTTCGGAGTAAACAAATGGTTAATGACACATCTTTTGTAACTCATGAATCAGCTACTGATTTGCAAGAGTGGGACACACCCTAGTACCTATTTGAAAGTGGATGTCTGAATTGCCAACCCATGTTACTAGGATTGAACACAACTTTACAACCATGTAGGTTGTCATAAAGTTAAAAACACGATCGTATCATTATAATGGAAGTTAATCTGAGAACTCCATCAATATTTTAACACCAATAATCAAGAAGAGTAGCAACACAAACTAAGGTGTATACAATCGATCCTAGGAAGCAAATACAAGAGTGGAGGCAAGAGGAGAGCCAGGTAAAGGGATTGAAGAGTAACAAATTCAAGAAATAGAATATTCTCAATTCTAAAGAAAAATAAATAAAATGAGTCTGGTAATGAAAAAATAACACATCTTACCTTAAGAGGCATCCAAATAGCATTCATAGTGTCAGGAATAGTTGAGACAATACGCAGAAATGAACAAGAAGAGAGTCTTAGTAATTCCCTCAGTCACCAAGTAGGAGCAGGTAAGAAATTTTTTTGTTTCGAGAAAGGTATCTGAAAGAGAGGACTTTCTTTTAGACTAAAAAATAATCAAGAAAATGCAAAGTTTAAGCTATCTTGGCAGAGACTTGAAGTACTATTTGTCTCACCATACTAAAAAGGTAAACAAAATGGTCCCCTTTAGAAAAGGGTAAATGTGTGTATGTGTGTCTCCATATATGTATGAAAATACTTTACCTAACAAGAGAAATAAACGTGTAACACATACTCTAAATAATGTAAAATTGTTTATCAAAGAATGGGAAAACCAAAATCCCGAGAGAAAAAATTATTATCCAGGGTACTTCCTTCATAAACATTATTGAAAGGTCATTTGTTAACCATCTAAAAAAAACCCTTGCCACATTTATTTTTATCTAGCAAATTAAAACCTCTCTATCATTCCAACTGCCCTGAGTTTAAGCTTAAATTAAGTTTCGGAGCTGATTCTACATGAAAAATAAAATCTATCTTGACTGAAGTATTATAAGCAAATAAAAAACCCTTCCTCCCTAGAGATCTTTAAAAGCACACCAAACGACTTAATTTTGAGGATGGGAAGAAGGTAAGTCTGCCTGGAGGCAGGAGGATGGACTAAATGACCTCTTGTGGGATCCTTGTTCAAGTCCTAGGCCTGAATAAAATTCCAGCTTAACCAGTTACTGCTTCGCTTAAAATGGAGGCTTGCCCGAGTAGGGACGAAAATAACAGCACCCACCTCTTTAAAAATAAATGTCGAAAAGTACCATCATTTTTAAAAAATAATAAAAGATAAAAACCTCCGGAGTGGATTTGTTCTTGCTATGCGTTTGTGACTTCGGCTTCAAAGACTTGGCATCACTTTCCTCACCGCTCATCGGATTTTAGGGGAGAAGAAGGGGGAATATGACTCTTGACCCAAGTCTCAGGCGGGTTTAATAGTCCCTCCGTGAACCCCCCCTCGAAAGACAGCGGGAGAGGAGAAAGAGGAGAGCCTGAGTTCTCACCCCTCCCCCCACCTTGGACCCCGGTCCCAAACCTACCCCCCCGAACATCCCCGCAGTGGGGCGACTCCTTCTGCCCTATTCCCATTGTTAGGGAGGGGGCGAATGGGGCAGTGGGCTCAGGGCAGGGGCGCCTGCGGCCGTTGCCCCGGTTCGCTTCAGGAGGGGCGGCCCGTGGGATGCAGCCTCCCTTCCTCTCCGCGTCGGTCCGTCCCACCTCGGCTCGGCCTGGCGCCCCGGGCTCCGCTCGGCGCCCCCGGCCCCGGCCCGCCCCCGGGACAGCCAGGCCCCCAGACCACTCGGCCTGCAGCCCGCGGCCCAGGCCTACGGGTGGGCGCGGGGCGGGGGTCCCTGCGCCCCACACACGCGTCTCCGCTCCCCCAACCCAGCGGCTTCCAGGGCCCTCGGCGGCGCCCGCTCCCCGGGCCCCTCGGTCCCCCGCCTCCTGGCCGGGCCGCTCCTTGAGGCTCCCCTGGTCGGGGCCGCCTCCCCTTCCCCACCATCACCCCTACCCACTTGTGCCCCCACCCCCCAGGGGCACCAGTGCCAACGGCGGGTCCCCCAGCTCCGGACCTACCTGCACGGCTCAACCAAGCCTAGAAGTAGGGGCGGGGAAATCTTCCGCCCTCCTCTGTCTCTCATTGGCCCTCCCAGGGCACATCGTGGACGCTATTGGCTAAGAGCTGGTGTCCGTCAGAGCTGTGGGGCGGGACAGAAGGGGGAGAGAGATGCTGGTGCTTCGGCGTCTCTGTCTCTGTGTATCTCGTTGTCTCTGTCTCTGCCTGGGCCCTTGAAAACAAGAGGCATTTGGACGAGAGGACTGGAAGGGGGCCTGAGGTGGAAAGAATGGGTGTAGGAATCCCAGCAGAGCTTCACGTCAGTCGGCCACTCTGAACCCCCTACATAAGTCCCCTTTAGGTTCTCTTCTACATCACCCCCAACCCCTGCCCCACACGCCCTGGGTTCTTCATCCAGGAAGCGACATGATGAAAACTCAGGCCGGAAGGCCATAGGGGGAGATTTTATATATGTATGTAAAATAAACGCATATAAATATTTATATATGAAGTCAACCAGATATAAGGTCGCGAGGGGCATGGAAAGGAAAGGGCACACATCTCAACAGACATGGACGGACTTGAGATATAGACGATATAAGAAGGAATCAAAAATCACTCTCAGAGCTGGTGACACTGGTTACCTCCTGGGACGGGAACTGAGTGGCTAAGGAACCAGGTGGGAGGAAGAATTACATCTCACTGTGTCTCCTTTGTATCTTTATTTTTGTACCATTCATAAACATTTCGATTCAAAAACATTAATTGATTTAATTTTTAAAATAATCTGAGGTCGCAAAACCAGTGGACAGACAAGATACTTCTCCAGGAAAATTGGCACAG